AGCTTCGGTAGTTAGACAAACCAGAGTTTTGCTTGGGAAGAAAATGTTATCTGATTGAGGGGACTGCAGTAGGCCTATGCACCCATTACAATCCTTCTGATTCCCTCCAACCCTACAGTCCTTGGATGTAAGATTGCTGATTAACTTATTTCGGCCTGTCTGTCTCTCTTGAACTTTCAGCTCAGAATAAATATTGCTTCTTGAAGCCTTTCAAAGGATTCCCCTTGCGCACTGTAACCCCTTCTCTATATGCTGTACAAAGAAGAAAACACTTTAAAAACATTTCACTTTAGAAATCTAGCCTCCTTCAATTGCTTTCATTGTTGTTGTTATAGGCTTGAAGGAGGCCCTCTTGACAACCTATCTGCTCACAAAACCAAGCTTTAAAGCCAGCAGCACTTAACTGGCCCAGGACTGCCACGGTTCTCAGTAAAATAAAGAGCGATGGGAGGGGGACTCTCCCTGTAGATCTTGAGAAGTGGGCAGGTCCATATGACATAGCATCAGTCTTCATAAGGTAGCTGTTGAGGTGTTCATAAAAACTTTCCAGTTGTTGCCCATATAGCAATCACACAGCTACAGTCATGTATCACTCACCATAGAGGTGCTTGCAGGGGGCTGTGGGGGACAACCACGGGGATAAAACAATGGCAATTATTGTCACAAAAATGTTATTTCCTTGCAATAACATTAAGGGAGGCTGGCAAGAGAGAAGATGTTTGGATCCCCTAAAACAATTGCAGAGTGCATGTTTTTCTGCAACAAACTAGTAACTTAGAAAGGCCTTTAAACAGGGTGGTGCCCCTTGTTCCAGTTATAATACAGATTGTTAACCCAGGCCAGTATCCTTGACTACAGTGCAGTATGTGAGGAATTAATATACCTCATAGACTACTGTGGGATTACCATGAAAGTCACCCTGGAATGTAATGCATCTGTAATGCCCTGTGCTTCTGTTTTGTCACGTTCCATTTTGGCTGGAGAAGGAAGAATCCATTGTAAATTTTGGCTGGAGCAGAAGGGCACGGCAACTCCTGTGACAGTGCAGGTGCATCATCATGAGCCAACAGCATGATGGCAACTGTGGCAAATTGCACAGAAAATCCTTTTGCCTGTTTGTGTTACTGTGGAAGTGTGGTTGAAGAGTTCTTGCCAGTGGTACAGGGTCTACACACACAGGAGTGTATTCCCACATGTAATTTGTGAAAATAAAAACATGAGAAGCAATTGTATCCATGACATTATATAAGTCAGATGCAGGTGTGCTGGGCTACTTCCAGGATTCTTCATACAGACAAACCCTTCCTTGTTTGAAGCTTTTTCATGAATTAAATTCATACTGTTGGAAGGAGTTATGTCAGCAGCATTTTTCAAGGTGCAGAGTGCTTTACAGCTCTCTCCTGTTTTATCCTCATGGCTGCTCTGCAGAGCAGGTAAAGCTGAGAGATCATGACTTGCCCACAGCCACCCATGGAGCTTCATGGCTAAGCAGGGCTTGAGCAGCTTTCTGCCCTGTCTAAAACCAACATTTTGCCTACAGATCAAAATGCAGGCTTCTGGTCGTAGGTTTGCAGACTGGTATAATATAGTACAAATGCAGGCTAAGATTTCTGCAAAGCCACCTCAGCTGTTATTAAAGGGAATGGAGAAGTGGGGATTTTCACATGCAGCTAAATAACTTAAAAAGCACAAATTCCCTTCACTTTGAAAATCCCGGCCCAGCCTCCATTTAAAATGATTGGGAATCAACTAGTATCCAAATCCCTTTGGTAATGTGGAAAGTCTCAGCATTAATAAATAGCCGGGGCTATCACCCGCTCTGCCAGGATCATGTAAGGGTTTAAATGCCCCGTTCTTTTGTTCTTTCACTGTGCTAAATCAACCTCTGTTGTGGGGGCATGTGTGCTGTCGTATGCATGTATTCAGTAGCAGTTGCCTAAGGCATGCATTTCAGGGATGCTAGCATTTTGCTGTGCTCCTGGTTTGTCCTTTACATTAATCAGCCCATTGCCCCAACTGACAGTAATAGCTGTTTCTATTTCATGAGTATGAAAAAGCAATAATTTGCTGCCAAATGTGCACAATCCTTTTTTAGCGTATACCAGATCATTTAGCAACCCAACTAGAGATTGCTTAAGCCGCATAGAGCAGCTGGCCTTTCTGCGACAGAAGTCTTATCAAAGTGACACTCTACAAATGCTAGTCACAATTTTGAGTTCATTCCTAACAAATTTTCTTTTCACTTTCAGTAATAATGTTCCTTTTAGTTATCAAAATTACAGACGCTTCAGGACCGGACAATGCAATGAATGCAGGTGTGTTCTAAACAGGGCAGTCATCAGGTGTCCACAGTTTATTATTCAGTCCTGAACTGAGGACAATTCATTTTCCTGCAATAACTGAGTGCCCCATACCATTTAAAAGTGACACACATTTGTAGAAAATTGATGCTATTCTTTTGAAGGACCAGGTGCACAGTCTGAGGGTGCTGCTGGACCAAGTATTGCTTCTGGAATCTCAGGTGACAGCTGTGACCAGAAGTGCCTTTTATCATTTTAAGTTGATTTGCCAGCTGTGGCCACTAGGAAAAGATCACCATGATGCATAGCTTGGTAACCTCCACATTAGAGTGCAGTAGCAGAATCTATGTGGGTCAGCCTTTGAAAACTATTCAAAAACTTCAGTCTACCTTGCTGGTGACTGAGAGACAGTGAAAGTACATTACATGTCTACTGGAAGTCTGTGGTGGCTCCCAATCGGAATACAATTAGAATAGTTACTTTTAACCTTAAAAGCCCACAACCTTGATAACACACATGAACATAAGAGCAACTTTGCTGGATCAGGCATCCAAAAACATACAACATTAAGGTCTTAAGATGAGGGTTTTGTTCTGAGCTCTTTCCTAATCAGAAGAGACATATAGCAGACCCTTCTCAATTGTAGCACCTGTATTATAGAATTTCCTCCCAGGGGAACTTGGACACTAGATCTGTTTGTACCTTTAGGCACCTGGCCAAAACTTCTTTTCAGCATGCATTTTGGAGGTGCTTTTAAAAGCCTGATTTACCTTGTTGTTTTATGGGGGGGGGAGGTTACATGTGTTGATTTTAATAGTTAAATTGATATTTCCTTCTGTTGGGATTTATTGTTTGTTCTCATCCTGAGCATAGGTGAAATGACAAGATATAATCTGAAAACAAGCATTCATACATATACAGTGGTACCTCGGGTTAAGTACTTAATTCGTTCCGGAGGTCCGTTCTTAACCTGAAGCACCACTTTAGCTAATGGGGCCTCCTGCTGCTGCCGCACCGCTGGAGCACAATTTCTGTTCTCATCCTGAAGCAAAGTTCTTAACCCGAGGTACTATTTCTGGGTTAGTGGAGTCTGTAACCTGAAGTGTATGTAACCTGAAGCGTATGTAACCCGAGGTACCACTGTATTTTGTAGTTTTCCCTTTTCTTCCTGCTATAGCAATATACTAGGCTACTGTGAGGCTTGGGGCCACCACCCAGCATCTCTGAGCCTAACCTTGAAAAACATAACAGTGCATTTACAGTAAACCCTGTGGCCTCAAATATGAGAGCGAGAGTTTAAAATCTTGCCCATAGCCTCCTGTTTACAGACGCTTAAGAGGAATGTCTGTCCTAGTTGCTCCCTGTTCCTCTTGGAAGTAGGCGTGGCTACCCTGCTTAATACTGTACTCCCTAGATATGGGCTGCCTCCTACAGAACAAGCCCAGGAAGAATGGCTGCAGCATCCCCATTATCAGGACAATCAGGCTGTCTAAGCTCTTCATATGGCCTAGGCTGGTTCCCACAGTAGGCAATAAGCCAGGCTCCTAGCTACAGTCCTTCTGTAGAAGCAAAGTTCAGCTCACAGATCATTCCTTTCACATATGCAAATGCTAGGTGCAGGTCGTGATAGTGATGCTGAAATACAATATCAGATTGAATTTTGAGAGCTCTAACTTAAGGAGTTACTTCAGAGCTGCCCTATCCAGTTTGAATTATATTGTCAAATACGTCTGGGTCTTCCTTAAAAAAAAAAAAAAAAGCTTAACAACTTTTTGATGGGCGGATGGGAGTTTAACCAGAGGGCAACATAGGTTAGCTTTGCTTTTGTGGATTTTTAATGCAGCCACAGAACCTCCAAAGGTGTTGAAGAACATAACTGTCCACACATTTGCATCCCTAGATATTTGCATGTGTTGTATAAGTGACTCACGCAGCAGTACAGGACTCCTCTAGTGCAGCAGCTCTCCAAATAGAGATGCAGCCGAAACACAAAGCAAATACAGTTCAGGCACTGTAGAACTGTACAGTTCAGGTCAGTGGAAAGCTACAAAATCTCCATTTACTGTTTCCAAGGGCCAGCATATTGCAGCATGTCGTTAACTTCAGATTAGCAGTCCCTTGAAATGTACACCATTTATTACCAATTGCAATAAATAAAACTGAAAATGTAAGTGCTCTGAAAACAGATTGAAAGATTCAAGAAGATTGAAAGGGGGAAATATAGCTTTCACAAATGCATCCTATTACAAGAAAAATGGCTTGCCCTCAATTTAACATTGAACAATGTATAATTGCATGTGTAAGGTTAATTCCAAGGCGGCAAACCAAGTCAATGGAAAGCTGAAAGCACTAAGGAAAGAGAGATTAGAGACTTATTTCCAATTAAATATTAAGGATAGGGAAGAATAAGCAAAACAGAAAACAAAACCCAGATGCCTTATCCAGTAGCTCACTCTCATCATTTCATGCACGTGAATGGAAAATGTATTCCCCAGTTATTTTTATTGTTTCTTAACCTAGTAGGATTTTTAAAAGGACTAGGAAGAAACTTCTCCACTGAATAACTAGTGCCTTTTGCTTGCATTGTCTGGACAGTTCTGAAACTAAATGAGCTAATGAGCTTGGAAGAATCATAGAATTGTAGAGCTGGAGGGCGCTACAAGGATAATCTAGTCCACCCCCTACAATGCAGAAATCTTTCACCCAACGTGGGGCTCAAACTCACGTTCTCGAGATTAAGAGTCTCACGCTCTACCAACTGAGTTATCCTAGACCTAGAGCCTTCGCTACATAAGGTACATGTATAGAACTGGCAGGTAGGGCCCATGCATGAGTCAATTCACATGGCAAAATGAATCAGATATCATCTGTTAAAGAGGTACTGTTAGGAACGGTTTGGGATACATCGTTTTACCCATTCCTGCCATAGCATTCTGATGTTACATGGCTCAGGTGGAAAGCGCAACACTCTGTTGTAAAATATGTACACCAGCTGCCACTGATGTCATCGCACTGAATTAAGTATACAGGTTCTACAAAGATATGGATGAAAACTGAAAGACATCCATCAGTTTCTCCTTCTTCACCAGATTTTATGTTTGGATGGATATGTGTGAAGTGGGCTGGAGCATGTGCATCAGATATTACTTTAGCTGACAAGAACAAGCATTCCACCGAAGCCTTGGATGGACTCAGAGCTGCAAAACCACTAGGTGTTTGGTTACCCAGGAATTTAGTACTTTGACACTGGTGGCTAAGAATTTGAAGTATTTGTCAAACTCTGTTTGAAGTGAGAGTACGTGTGCGCATGTGTGTTGTATCTGGATTTTTTCTTTTGGTTAACTACAGCCCTGAAGAAACTCTGCAAACCCAGAAGCCTGGGAGTGATTTCTTTTGTGTGTGAACTGCCTTTTGTATTTCAGCTGCTGGAATTAAACCGAAGTGGCAGCTAATAACATCATAAGAAAATAATATGATTGTTGATCATTCCTTCTAGAGACTTATAAATTGGGTGAAAGGATGTGGAGGAGGAGAAATAACAGAGGCACAAAGTGTTGTGCTTGCCAAATATAAATACATTATTCTTGCTGCATATCATGCTAGGCCCTATTATTAATAGAAGGAAAAAATAACATTTATAATAACTTCTGTTGAATGAATGAATTCTGTTGAAGGAAGGGCTTCATGGGCCTCCATACATTAGTAATCGTTTGCCTTTTGCTGGGAACTCTAATGCTTATCACTGATGTAGCGCTTTGACTACACAATCCTATGTGTGTCTACTCAAAAGTAAGCCCTGTTGAGTTCAGTGGAGCTTTCTCTCAGGTAGTATGTATAGGATTACAGCCTAAACTCACAATTTTATGAATTCTCACAACATCCCTGTGAATGAAGCAAGGTGTTGGGTTTAGACCAAGGGTTGTTAAATTCAGATCAAAATATTTAGTTGTTGTTGAGACAAATAAGCTAAAATAATGCAAGGCACCCTTACATGCTGTATTCTAGATACAGAAATAATAATTAAAAGAGGGCTGTGACATCCTTGAGTCTGGTTTATTTCTTTATTATAAGTATTTTTCTACCACCTCAGGGCAGTTTACAAAGGAATAACGCAATAAAAATGTAAATAGATTTAAAAAAACAATGCACAAAATTATAAAAGATTCATAAATCAGAATGATTATAATTGCATCTAAAAATAAATATAATAGGACTGAGACTCTTGTAGGTAAGAGCAAGGCTGGTGTCAAGACCAATATGCAGCGTTTCAAAATGTGAGTCTGCCTAGTCTTACTGTTTAAACAAAGATATATCATTGACATCATGTCTGCACTTCAGCACTCTATTGGCTGAATTGTAGAGTTGGAAGGGAACCCAAGGGTCATCTAGTTCAACCCCCAGCAATTCACGAATCTCAACTAAAGCATCCACGACAGATGGCCATCCAACCTCTGCTTTAAAACTTCCAATGAAGGAGAGTCCACCAGCTCCCGAGGAAGTCTGTTCAGTGTTGAACAGCTCTCATTGTCAGAAAGTTCGTTCTGATGTTTAGTCAGAATCTCTTTCCTGAGAGGGAGAAAACAAGGTTGCTTCTTCTTCCATTTGATAGCCCTTTAGATATTTGAAGATGACTATCATAGCTCCACTCAGTCTCCTCTTTACCAGGCTGCACATGCCCAACTCCCTCAGCTGTTCCTTATAAGCATGGGTAGGCAAACTAAGGCCCAATCACCTTCTAAATCCAGACCGCGGACGGTCCGGGAATCAGCATGCTTTTACATTAGAATGTGTCCTTTTATTTAAAATGCATCCCTGGGTTATTTGTGGGGCCTGCCTGGTGTTTTTACGTGAGTAGAATGTGTGCTTTTATTTAAAATGCATCTCTGGGTTACTTGTGGGGCATAGGAATTCGTTCATTCTTCCCCCCCCAAAAAATATAGTCCAGCCCCCTACAAGGTCTGAGGGACAGTGGACCAGCTCCCTGCTGAAAAAGTTTGCTGACCGCTGATAAGCCTTGGTTTCCAAACCATCTTGGTTGCCCTCCCCTACACACATTCCAGTTTGTCAATATCCATCTTAAATTGTGGTGCCCCAAACTGGACACACTATTCCAGGTGGGGTTTGACCAAGGCAGGATAGAGTGGTACTATTACTTCCTTTGATCTGGAGACCGTACTTCTATTGATGCAACCTAGAATAGCATTAGCTTTTTTTGCTGCTTGATCACACTGTTGACTCATATTAAGCTTGTGGTCTACTGAGACCCCCTAGATCCTTTTCACATGTGCTACTGGCAAGCCCGGTTGAGCACCTTCAAAATGAACAGCTTTTTAATGATTTAACACCAGCAGTGGGGTGATTTGAAAGGGTATAGGCCTATCCAAACTCATATAAGTCAGGCACAAGTCAAGAGAGCATTCCCAGTTTGAATTGCTTGCCATTTAAATTCCCACAACTGTTCCACACTAGGAGGCTGTTAATACAAATCTCAGAGATGTAAAGGTCTGTTAATGAAGATAAGTTAAAAACTGTATGACTCTCAGATTTATAGGGAGGGTAAAATTAAATGCTACCACTAAAACCTGCTATAACAAAATCTCGTTAGTGTTAATGTTCATTTATGGTTTGACTTCCCCAAATTTAATTCACCCCTCCTTTTTGGTGCATTTGTGGGACTGACAATTTAAGATCTTGAAAGATGATTTTATGACTTGTTCTGCTGTAAATCAAACTTTTAAAGTTCATAAAAATGGTTAAAATAAAAAATGGTTTAATATGAATGTTTTATGGTCCATAACATTATTATAGCTGTTTTATTCCCAGTGCGTTATTGCTTTAATTGGGTTGCTACAATTCTTGGGAATCTCAATTTTTATTGGAGTAAATGTAATCCTAAATCAAATGACCAAGAATGCCCTCAATATGTTTCCCCAGCTCCATTCTCAGTCATTTTCTTCAGGGATAGAACAAACCAACAAGGGAAATATATCCTTTGTTTTCTCATTGGTCCTCTGGCACCATGTGCCGTTCCGTACGTTTCTTCCAAACTTTCAGTGTTCTTAGCTATCTGGACTCTGTGAACATCTTTTAGGGCAGAATTTCTTTACAATATTCCATTGCTTGCTTATCTTTTGTGCTCCTTTCTCCCAACAGGTGTCTGATCGCTCTGTAGTGGCCCTCGTTCCCAAGCAGACCTCATCCTACAACATTCCCGCCTCTGCCAGCATATCACGGACCTCAATTAGCAGATATGGTAAGAAGCAAAGTGATGTGATGTAAACTTTCCTTGAATTTCCAGATTAGTGGTCTAATCAGCTAATTGTGCCAGCAAGCTTATTAGAGTTCTTACCTCTGGCTCTGAGGCATGGAACATGCTATCTTTTTATTTTTTGTATACAAAAAATCCCTGGGCAATCCCTGGGTGCAGTCCAAAGCTGTACAGTAGCTTTGATGCACACATAGATCACATTACATACCAGGACTGCCCCTTTCTGTCTTTGAGGGCTTGTCCACACCTCTGTTTGCCTTGCCACTGTCTCCCAGGAAAACCAGAGTTTACTGCTGAATCAGACCAAATGTCAATTGGATTTTCTATGGATTGCTGTTTGTTCTGATATAGTTGTAAATAGCGTGTTTTGCAGGGGAAAGCTGCAGGGCAAATGCAAAACTGCTGGGACCTGTGCTTTCTAGGCACGGGACAATGGAAGTGTGGGAGAGCCCTGAATTATGAGTTGTTGTGCCTATGAAATGGGACTATCTGTGTGTATACCAGAACTAGAAGCATTCTCTTAAAGCAGTTACTCCTACAGAGCTGCTGTTTCTTCAATTCTCTATTTGAAATTTGTTGGAATGGGTGCTAATTTCAAATGTCTAGGGTTCTCAGATGTCCCCACTGAAATTATCACAAAATTAACCAATTTGGTAAGAAATTAGACCGGCCGGCAAAGGACCTATTCAGATGTTATCCTTTTGATGTGTGCACCAAAACTTGTGCAATTCAGCATTCCCGACCCTGCTGTCCTCTGGATGTTCTGAGCATCATCCCTGGCCATTTGCCATGGCCATGGGTTGGGCTGCTGGGAGATGTGGTCAAAAACATCTAGAGGGCACCAGGGTGGTACTGTACACCTAAAATGTAATTTGTGACTAGACCGTAGCTGTTTCGGAAATGGCTGTGTCTATTATTCTCATGTTTTGGTTTGGGGAAGAAATCAGTGGGTAATTTTGACTCAGCCCTAAAGTGGAAACTTGTGTATCCTCAAAGAGCTGTATTGATTATAGTTTGCTCTCAAGTGTGCACTCAGTCATTAACCCAGATATGCTGTTGTTTTGTTTGCAAGATACCAAAGAACTACATTTTGCAGTAAAATGAGCTGCCTGCCTATCCATTTTTAGAAAAGTTGAATAAATTATAATTTGTTATTGGTTATCTTTTTCTTGCAAGATAATTATAATTTGGGCTTTATTATATTGTTTTGTTACTTGGTATCATTTATTCTCCTAATTTCTGTATGGTAATTATAAAAGGAATGTTGGGAGGGAATCAAGTCCTGATTGTGAGGGCACAATTGTTTTATCAAAGAATCAAACTGGGATTAAAATTAAATAACAAATTTGAGAATTTGGACTTATTTATTTTTGCCATCTGTTTCTGGCAAAAGTTTGTGTTGAATGAAATAATTGCTGTACATTTTCCTGTAACAAAAAGGCTAAGATGTTTTGCTGAAGTTACAGGAGAAATGGATTTTCAGCTCTTTCATTCTGCTGGCTGGTT